CCTTCGGGGCTCCTGACGGCTCTTGGGCAGGGGAGAGATGTGCGTGTGCTGCAGCCCCTCCGCGAGCCCCCGTGGCAAGTAGGGGAGGCCGAGGAAGAAGCCTGCTGAGGAGGAGGAGCGTGACTGGCCTTGTCACGGGAGCTGCGGGGATGCTCTTGCTCCTGGGAGTCTCTGGGCCTGGTCTGGGGTCAGTGTGGTCTCAGAGTGCCCCTGCACTCTCACAAGGGCTGCCGAGGGTGCTCTCGCCTGTCATCGAAAAGCCGTGCTGGGCGTTTGCTGCAGTGTGCTGGCCTTTAATTCGTAGGTTTAACTCCTACTTCAGCCCTGCAGACCTTGCCCGGTGTGGTGCTGGATTTCTAGCTTCAGTAGCTGGAGGCAGGTTGGTGCCTGGCAGGAAGGTTTCTTAATAGACTGTGTGGCATTGTTGGTGTAGAAGGACAGACAACCTTGTGGATCCACAAGCACTTCTCTTACACCTAGCTGGCTCTTTTTGTCCTTTTCCAGCTCCTTTTGCCTCTGGAAGGGGACACATGCGTGGTGCATGATGGGTGACCATATGCAAGAATTGCTGTTGTTTGAATCTTGGTTCTACAGGCTAGGCCTAGCAAGCCAGCACAGTCTGCAGGGTTTCAGGCCTTGTCTTTTTTAGGATGAATATATCCTACTTCTGTTGAAGACGTTCTGCTCAGCAGCTCAGGGTACTTGCCACAGGAGAGGCACTGAAGAGCCTTCACAGCGCAGCGTGCACATCTTGGATTACTACTCCTCCCTGGAACAAATTCCAAGCCAGGGGAAGGCTAGCGATGAGAGCAAGCGATGTGTTTTCCCAATGGCTTTTGATTCTGCCAATACTGCAATAGGAAGAACAGGAGGTTTCTGCTTTGCAGCCTCAAGAAAAAAGGAATTGGCACGACATGTCCGTTAACGTGTGTTTCTGTGGTCAGCTCCCGGAGCGAATGGCTCGCTGCGCAGTTACAGTTGCATCCCAGGGGGAGAAGTTTGCGGTTCGGGTTCTTGTTTCCTGCTTGGGATCGCTGCTGTCTGTATGTGAGCGCAGCTTTTGCTGTGTGCTCAAATGGAAAATAGATGGATAGTTGGGAAATAACAGCATTGGTTCAAAAATAACTGTACTGGGGTAAAAAAGTTACTTTTTGATATTGATTATTTCAGGTAAAGCGTTTGGTGAGGCTCTGCTTCATTCATGCTCAAATACTTGGAGTGCCAGCACGTGTAACTGGGAGGGATAAAAATTGCAGAGTGACTATGGAGAAAGGGAAGCAAAGTTAATGGAACTATTTAAATCTTGATATGAAAAGTTTACAGAGCTGAAGCCTCAAAGCTTAGGGACTAGGAAGGGTTTGGTTCTGAGGGTAATCATCTTCTGTGGAATCTGCAGTTGAATGTCCATGGTGGATTGTGTTCCCTGCTCTGCCACTTGCTTCTTGGGGAAACAGTTCTCCTTCCCTTGGGTCTCATCTGCCTTGTTTGTAACCCCCTCAGGGCAGGGGGCTCCCTGTTGCTTTTTACTCTCTGTAGTATCAAGTCCATGAAGAGTTCATTGTACATGGCCACTAATACCGGTTTAGAGCTCTCTGTTGTATAGTTTCTTGCAAATATGTTATCAAAACCATTTTAACAGAAGAGGGTACTGGGACACAAGTTTAACTTTGGGGTTGTTGAAGAGCATTTGAATTTACAGCTTGATGGGAGGAGACGGAGAATCCCTTGGCTGATGCTGTATTATTTTCATGTCTCTCAGGCTTGAAGTGGCTTCCTCGCTGTTATAGCAATATCAATTTTGGCCCATTGGTATGCTTTTTTAAATTTATTTATCTTTCTGAGCAAGGTTTCTAGTGTCCCGTGTAGAAAAAGGCTGCAAACCTACTGTACCTGAGCACGTACAAGGGAAAGAAACCTCAGCTAACTTTTAAGAAGTGGGCATTCTGAATTTAGAGGCCCTCAGTCCGGTTTGAGCGATGAATTTTTTTAAAAAGAAAACTTTGAGAAAGTCTCGTGATTTCTTAGGTTTATAGTTTGTGAATGTGACTGTGCAGCCTCTCGT